TATATATATGTATATGTATATATGTATATATTAGTTTTCGGAATGATGCATATATTTTTTTTTAACAATGACACTTTATTATTAGCTGAATGAAAACTCTGGGGGAACTGTAAATTGTGCATTGTATCAACATTTAAGAAAAAAATACAATTAAGAATCTATTAAGTTTGGGTGTTGATTTCATGAAATGAGGTAATGTCTCAGGATGGCTTACAGAAAGTAATACTTTCCCCACATATTCTGACTTAGGGTTAGGGTTAGGTTTCCACAACTTGTACATTTTAAATTTTCCATGGCTTCCAACTCAAAATAATTGTGATTTTTACTTGTTTATACTTTAAACATGGTAAAAACTGTCAAATGTTCTTGTATTAGAGACATTCTCTGAAAACAAGTCTTAATATTTTATGTAGTGTTGCTTCTAAAGTAAATGTATCTTGTTTCAAGGATTTTTAAATATTTTAAGGGGGAAGTAAATAAAAAAGTTTTCTTTATTACTGGTGGTAAATATCATTGATTTTAGATACTATACATTTATTGGGTCTCTGTTTGTGTTGTTTGATTCTGTTTGTAGCTTAGCAGTTAGCATGAGCTCTCTGACTCCTTGAGCTGGGGACAAGAAAAGTTTAAACCAACCTAATCACATTAGCTTCCATTCCTCCCTCTTTTCCCCCATAACTCTTTGTCCATTCCCTGCTGCATGTTCTTTCTTCATTGCAATAACAAAATAAAAATTTAATATTCAGTGCATAAATATGCTTTGTTCTGCATTTTCTTGCCAAAATGTTCTGAGATTTCCAGAAATTGCATTCACGCTGTAAGAGCCAACATAGTTGTGTGCCAGGAGAAATAATTAGCAAAGAAACTGACAGCTTGCAAAAGAGTTTTAGGACAATGCACTGTTCAAAACGGCTTTCAATGCAAGACTACCGTTCTCAGTGCAACATGAACATTACTTTTGTTTATTCAGCTTATGTACCACTAAATACACTGGTGTTTTTCTCACACCCATGTTTCTGTCCCTTATATATTTTCTTACTTAACATGGAAAAGCTTAGCTCGCCATTAAATCAAGTGAGATCAAAAGGCTAATTGAAAAAAAAAAAAAGTTTGGCTAAACTTTGCTGTCTGTCGAGCAGGAAGCCCTCTTCAGAGAAAGGAATTAACTTTCAGAAGAATTCATTTGGCCTGACTTAGTCAAAGATCCCAGACTTGTGTCAAATGGAGAAAAAGCTTGAAGATAATAATAAAAAAAAAAAAGCCCTGAGCGCAAGTTAAATCAAACTCATTTTGACGTTTTCAAAGGATGTGTTGAATTTTTTAGAAGCCTGCTTGAGCATTGAGTGTTTAGGATGGTGTTTGTGTGTACTAGGAGCTAACTTATCGTATGATTAAAACAAATATTCACAGGCACCTTTTTAATACCGTTTCATGGTCCGTAATCATTATTCATGGACAGTTTATTTTTTCAGTTCACCCACTAGTTGCAAACAGGGCAAACAGTGGATCTGTTTTTCTCCAAGTGTCCCATCAACTTCACCTTATAATGTTGATGTGTTTTCCCCCAGATATGTACTTGAAATGAACATAACTTTTTATTTTTGTTCACTAGCCTATTGAGGGTAATTTCAAGGTTACTTTACTGTGTTTATTGATTAAACAGAGAAAACAAATGTCATATGAAGCCTGGGCACAGCATGCTTTTGCATGCCTTGATAATATAACCGTGTATTGCTCAGAATTTGAGTGCAAGACTTCTAACGCAGAAGATGTGACAAAGCATTTGTCAGAAAATAGAAAACATGCCTGGGCTTTGGTGGATAATGCGGGATATTGATAGCTTGCTAGTGAGGACTGCTGCAGATTAGTTTATCTGAAATTGTGTGAAGACATTTACATATTCAGGTCCCCTTTAATACTGCAATTTGACTCAAAACAAGTAGTTATTGAGCACACTGGATAATAGCCTGAATGTTGTTGGCCGTCATTAATGATCATCTGGGGTCTGATGCCCAGCCAAGCACATTTTCATAACTTCATAACAAGCTTTGTTCCAGGAGATAGTTCATCATTTCCGAGAAGTTGAATCGTCAAATTTCAGAGTTGAAGTCATCCTTGACTGTACATTAGGAGGATATGGGAATAGAATCGGTGCGATTTTATGCTAAACGGTGTTAAGTGACCGTTTTAGTGTTTGTGTATATTCTAAGCATGACCTCTTCTGAGGTGAATGACTTAAATGCAGCACTCGCTGTTTCATTACATAACTAAAAAACAATGAGTATATTATGCAGCTTGTCCAAGATGATAAATGTAGTGCTGCGGCTTGCACCGACTGCTGGTGGGTGATGTGGAAGTCTATTTCTGTTTGTTTCTGATATCTGCCAGACACCAAATTTTTAATATGCATATGCCAAACTGCAGCGGATTGGTCGTTTTGTTTTACCATATAGTCATGCAGGATTAGGGCTGGGGGACATTGCTACAAATACATATAGATACAGTATTGTGATGTATTCAATATGTTTCAGTATTAATGTAATTGCTGTTAAATGCTTTTTTTTTTCCAACTGGAAGAATCATCATTTTCATCAAACAGACATTGTTGCCAAGAAGAATACATTTTTTAATACGTCTATCTTAACATGGAGATTACAGTCTATTTTTTTTTTGCATCAATTAGTTTAAATGAGTTTACAATGTATTTATTTGTTTGTTTGTTTAATATTATTTGTATGTTTTATATTGTATGTGAAAATAATTTTGTTGTGTAATGCCAAGTAAACTTTTTGGTAACACTAGCCTTTATATATAATGCATTATAAAAGTATTTTTAATGCATTAACTTTGTTATAATGCACCTTATAGTGCATTGAATGTTCTCTCTATCTCTATATTTATTATAATATAATTTATGATAATATATGTATATATTTATTTATTAATTCATTGTTACACCTTTAGAAAGTTTAACATTTTAGATGTAACAAGGAATCTGCAAATATCATGATACATTTAACTTTGTTTACAATTACTTTTGAAAATATATTGATAATGTATCTTTTCATAAATAATTGTAACCAAATTTAATCATAATATTTCTATAATGTATGTGATATACAGTACATAAAGGCTTCAAGAAAAATTGTTACCAACTTTGTTTCCTACCAAATGTTTTAACCCAGCTCAACATTGAACACACAAATTACAGTGACACTCAAGAACCATACATTTAAGAAACTATTACATTCTATTCAATAAAATTAATAGTAGTGTTACATTAGCTCATTTAAGTAAGTATCACTTTCGTCAGTAGAGCGGGATCCAAAGTCAGTGCAGCCTTGTCTCAGTGTCCATTTGATATAAGTTTCACTGCAAAACCCCACAGTAGACCAGCATTCATATTATGACAGTGTCAAAGAGACAGGCGGCAAATACAATTGCCTATGAAAGTTTGAGTAATTGACATTCAATACGGAATCATGGTGGGAAACACTCCCATCATTTTCCATTATAAGAACTGAAGGAAATAAAAATCGGGCCAACTCAGTTTAGGAACCACAGCGACAGTCAATCTAACCACCTTATTTTCGTCTGGTTTCAGATTCCGCAGATCAGCTATGCCTCCACCGCTCCAGAGCTGAGCGATGACCGCCGGTACGATTTCTTCTCTCGCGTCGTACCTCCTGACTCCTTCCAGGCACAGGCCATGGTGGACATAGTGAAATCGATGGGTTGGAACTACGTGTCTACGGTGGCCTCGGAGGGAAGCTACGGCGAGAAAGGAGTCGAGGCCTTCATGCAGATTTCCAGAGAAGCGGGTGAGTCAGACAAAACAATAAACAAAGTCTTTGAAGATAAAGTCCTGAAAAACTCAAAGCAGTCTCTGCATGAGTAAACAAAATAGTTGTTAAGAGACTTATTTTGGTTGTACTAATGACAACCTGTCAGTTTCATCAGTGTTTACAGATTATATTTTTTAAAAACAAGCCTTATTCAGTGAGAAATGTTTGGGTTGCTTTATTCATTCATCTCTGCAATACAAAGTTGATTGCTTGAGACAGCTTCAAACCATCAATTTGCAGTGTTTCCCCCAACAAGAAGTTCACCTTTCAATAAATGAATATGTAAATAACACAATTGTCTGTTAACGGGGGGATGTTGTGTCTCTGAGACACTTTTCACACAAATGTCTTGCAAAACAAAGTGTGATGTGCCCCAAGGAAAGAAGATTAATTCCAAACGTCTCCCTCATTAGTGAGTGAAACCAATTACTGGAACTTGACTTGTACCTTTTAGGGAACAAATTAGATGGTAAGGTGTAACCTGACATGATGAGTAATTGGGGTTGCTTAATGGAGCCTGTGGTATGTCAACAAAATAACTTCATGATTGTTTCACACTTCTTAAGAAAAGTATGAGAAGTCTTGTAGGGCTGGTTGATTTGTAAACAAACTGTTCTCTTGCATTTTTTAATGAATTGGTGGAACTGGTTCACAAAATTAGTCTGTGCTCGCGGCTGTTTGGTAGGATCTGGGATGAATTGAAACAGCCCAAGCAGTTCTTCACCTCACAGAGTCATCACACTGATTTTTGTTTAATAATGAGCTTGGTTACCTTAAAGACTCATCAAACCAAAAACATTGACACTGTTCCTTGAAACAATTTACCCGACTTGTCAAAAATCAGTCGTATTAACAAATGATATATACACCAATTTGTACAAAACTGAAAACTGGCCATATTTGTGCATGCAATATATAATATACAAATTTCTAGTTTTATTATGAATGATTTGTCAGCTTGAGTCATTCAGCTTGAATCAGAATTATTTGTCAGTTATTCAGAAGTAATCTTTCAAGGACTTTCCTTTTTCGACTTCATCCTTATTTTCTTAAAGGGGTGGTTCAGTGGTATTTTTCTAGGCTTGATTGTGTTTATGGGGTGCAGTCTAACATGTGTTAATGCTTGTTTTTGTTTTTTTTTAAATGCATTATTTTTCACATAATTTGCCTTTATTCCACACCGCTGGTCCCTTCTCCCATAAACGCGCTGATAATTTCCTTCTTTTATGAAGCCCTTCCCTCAGAAATAGGCGATGGGCTCTGATTGGTTAGCTAGCCCTGTGTGTTGTGATTGGCTAAACCGCCTCTAGTGCGTGTCTAAACGTCCCGCCCCTCACCTCGGGACGGCATGTGCTCCGGTTGTATTGTAAACAACGGCATCGTTAATATCGCCCATCAGTTTGAGCCCGGTTGAGAAGCAGAGGATATTATTGAAGAGGATCGTGCAGAACTTGTGCAAGCACGGCTTTTAACGGTAGGCCTATGTTTTTTGTTTGTTGTTGTCTCATACTTTTAGATACGCTGTTATTTGTAAATGCTACTGCTTATGTTAGATTCAGTATATGGTTTTATCCTGATTAAAGCTTTAATACAGTACGGCAACTGCACGCGCGTCCATGTTTAATGATTCTCATAGCTATGTGAAAATAAGTGTATAATTGGAACAGTTCATTGTTGGAGCTGAGCTGAATGAGAGAGAAAGAGAGCGAGAGAGAGATAGATGCAGAGCAGGGGGACGCGAGGAACAGTATTAAGAACCGCTGTGTTGTCTCATACTTTTAGATACGCTGGTATTTGTAAATGCTACTGCTTATGTTAGATTCAGTATATGGTTTTATCCTGATTAAAGCTTTAATACAGTACGGCAACTGCACGCGCGTCCATGTTTAATGATTCTCATAGCTATGTGAAAATAAGTGTATAATTGGAACAGTTCATTGTTGGAGCTGAGCTGAATGAGAGAGAAAGAGAGCGAGAGAGAGATAGATGCAGAGCAGGGGGACGCGAGGAACAGTATTAAGAACCGCTGTGATTTTGAAACTTGTGAAATCATTAGAATCGTTAGAAGACAGAATCTCGTTTCATATATGAACAGATTTTTACGTGCACCTCTAGTTTTCTCTTCCTCTTCTCTAAAGCAGCGCAGGCCTCGCCCCCTTTGCTGCCTTTTCCCGAGGGTGGGGTTTATCTGGGTCTGTTACTCCACACACCCGGGAAGTAACTCGTTGTAGTCCCTACCAGCCGTTTTTGTAGGCATTAAACTGCCAGAATTTTAAAAGACGATATCTCCATTTGCATTGAAGTTTCAGCTTCGTAACTTTGCAGATATTGTTTATGATCAAACATTTACATTTACATTTAGTCATTTAGCAGACACTTTTATCCAAAGCGACTTACAATTGGGGGATACATAAAGCGATTCTTCTTAAAGAGGCAAACAGACACAAGAAGTGGTTGTAATACCAAGTTCTTAGACATTGTTCAAATAAGTACAAGCTAGAAAGAGAAGGAATAAATAAAGAGAGAGAAACTTTTTTTTTATTTTTTATGATGAAGTCAAGTAGCTTCGAAAGAGATGAGTTTTCAGCTGTCGCTTGAAAATTGTCAGGGATTCAGCATTCCGGATAAGGGTGGGAAGATCGTTCCACCAGCCATGAGTGGTGAACGAGAATGTTCTGGAAAGTGATTTTGAGCCTCTCTGTGATGGTACCACGAGGCGTCGCTCACTAGCGGATCTCAGACTTCTGAAGGGGATGTAAATTCATAGTAGTGAGTGGAAGTAGGCGGGTGCTGAGCCTGTGGCTGTTCTATATGCAAGCATCAATGTCTTGAACTTGATTCGGGCCGCAACCGGCAGCCAGTGCAAGGAGATGAAGAGAGGTGTAACATGGGCTCTTTTGGGCTCGTTGAAGACCAGTCGTGCCGCTGCATTCTGAATCATTTGTAGAGACAACATCAACATTACACACTAACGTTAAAAAAGTGAAATTGCAATCAACCACCCCTTTAAAGCCTCCCTTTCAGCCGCCTTATTTCACCCACTTCATGCTTACATCTCTGTCTCTCTCTCTCTCTCTCTCTCTCTCTCTCTATATATATATATATATATATTTATATGTGAGGGGGCTCCATACGATTCACATCGTGCAAATTCATACAAAATCTCTACCTCATTAAATACTTACATTTTCCTGTGAGATTGAAGGGGCGATTAAGCATGTTGTGATGTTTTGGCTAAATGTATTGTGTAATTATTTTAAAAAAGCACAGGATTTTGAGTGTAAAGTGCCTCAAGTGCTAGTGGGAAAGACTTCTTATGATAGATTTTGGCTCAGAATGTAGGTTGGCAAAACCAACATTGCTCAGAGCTGTTTGGCAGGGTGTTTTGCTGTGGTTACTGTATGGCCACAAATTTAGGTGGATAATGAATGTTATTTTACTGTACTTTTACTGATAGGGACATTGAGTCTCATTCATGGAACACAACAGGATAAATGCTTGGTAAAGGCTAATCTTATAGCCTGCTATGTCAAATAAGTTTGAATTGAAAATACAAAATGTCATAGAAAGCTGTAAGTAACTATCTTTATATTGTAGCAGATATGGATTCTGGATTCACACAACCTCAGAGGCTTTTCAGCACTCAGCAAATTCTGTTAATTGGGCTTACTGTCCAATTTAGCAGGGAGGTGGAATTTATCTCTTCTGACAGTGCGGTGGAGCTCAGATAAGCGACATTTCTCACTTTATCACAAGTCGTTTTTCACTTCTCCTTCGTGCGAGTATTTTTGCAGACTATTTTGAAATTAAACCAAACGAAATACCTACGTCCACAGCTACCTTCAGGTATTTGTCATCTTCTCTTTGCATGCCAGATTTGCCAACCACCCCGGCTTGTTCATTAATTTTTATTTATGAAGTGATTTACAGTCCACTCAGGATTTGAAGAGTGGAGACAGTTATTAATGATCTTAATTTGTGTATTTGATTATCCTGTATGAGTGGCAGTTCGCACTGTTTATCACTCTTATTGCTTTGGTGCCCAAGTGGCACAGCGCTTATCCTGTGGGAGACGAAGGAAACACTTTTTCATATGGTTGAGAACCCAACGCTGTATGATGTGGAATGCCTTCGACTTCATTATCCTCAGCTACAGTATGTTTGTATGTGTGTGCATAACCACTGACATTAAGACTTTAATGGGCTACGTTTGATTCGAATTGAATGTGCTCACTGAACTTATGTCCACTAGAGGAGAAGATACACCTGAGAGCATTTCCAAAAAGATGCATATTGAATGCCCTCGGGATGCTGTGTTGCTGTGGTCTGGATGTTTCATGGAATGCGTTAAGGATAGATTGGCGCAGTCTTCATGAAAGAAATGGACAGCTGTTTGAATGACTAATCATGCATACAAATCAATGAAGATTAATCAAATTAAACACCACCTTTTTCATTGTTTAATTTATTTATGTATTTATTTATTTGCAGTCGCTAAGTTGTTCTGAGTGGTTGCTAGGGAGTTCTGGGGGGTTGCAAAGGCAATGCTAGCAGCAGGGTGTTGTTATTAGATTAAGATGTTCTGAGTGACTGTTAACACACAACATTGCATAGTTTCTAAGGTGTTCCGTGTGATTTAAAAAAAAATTCAGTGGTTGCTAGGGAGGTCTGTGTGGTTGCTAAGGCATTGCTAGCTGTAGGGGGTTGTTATGAGATTGAGATGTTCTGAGTGTTTGTTAGGATCTTGCTTTGCAGTTGTTATGTTGTTCTGAGTTGTTGTGAGTGAACTGATGCACAGTTGTTAAGGTGTTCTGTGTGATTGTTAGCATTTTGATATGTGGTTGCTAAGGAGGTGTGAGTAATTGCTAAGGCAATGCTAGCTGCAGGGTGTTGCAATAAGATTGTTGGATGCTCTGAGTGGTTGTTAGGATTTTGTTCTGCAGTAGCTTAGGTGTTCTGGTTGATTGTTAGCATTT